TGTGATAATTATAATGTTTTATTTTTGTTTAGCTGTGTATTCAGTTAGCATGATGCATTGCATACAGTCAGTATTTAATAAAGTTGACTATAACTGCCTTTTGAAATATTTCTAGTGTAGGAGCTACACACACATTCTATCCATGTGTATTTTTATTTGCTGCATTTATTCTATTTCTCCACCTATATCAGAAGTGTTTATTTGCACAACAGAGAGGGAGGAGGAGCTGTGGTCAGGCAATGCATTCTGTATGGCATTTAGAAGATTCCACATGTACTAGCAATACTTCAGGCAACCTGTCTTCTTCAGGAGCAAACTTTCAGTTTAACTGAGGCTTGGCTATCCCACTTTAACCTTGTTGGTTAAAAACATATGAACAACAAAGCAATTTTCTAAAGGACATTAGTCCACTTACCTACCACCAAGTGGTGATGCGGAGCAATGTCCCCAGTATTTAGGGATCTTCCAAATCCATATTTAATTCTGGGGCACTTTAGAATTACTTTACTGTGGTTGAAGGCATGTAGTCTTGGATTGATTGTAGTTGACTTCAAGACAATAACAAAAGGAAGGACAGGAAACTTTTTCTTTTTTGTTTATCTCTCTGAAATCTTGATAGAGTTCAGATTCTGGCCATGTTCTACTTTATTTTGAAAGAGTAATGAAACAAATTCTAGCAGGTTTTTGTTCATTGGATTCTAGGTAATTTTACTTTTATAAGACCAGCTGATAAAACAGTTACATTCTCAATGGCTATTTGTTCATCTCTAATAAATAAATATATTGTTAATTAGTATTCCTGAGGGTAATAATATTAAGAAAAAAATAAGCAAATTAACATGAAATAATGTTTTCCAGGGGCAAAAAAGAACCTATGATTTTTTAAACCTTTATTTCCTTCTCTTGGCCCATTTCCTTCATTTCAGTTCACATAAAAGCCGATAGATACTTTAAACGTGAATCTTACCTTAGAGGAAATTCCAGAGCAAGTTTCCTCACTTGCAAGTCCAAAGAGGTTTTGGCTACACAAATCTGGGTTACAATTTCCTTCTCTAGATCATAAACATCTGGATCTTTTCAACTGTGGGAAAACAATTCAGAACGTCCTTCCTGCCTTGCAGACAGGTGGCACCCAAGTCACGGTTGCTGGTTCCCTTTTGCTACATTCACTCACTGTAGAACAGCAGCATGCAGAGTATAGCAATGGCATTACTCAATCAACAGCGAGCCTGGAGTCCTGGACTCTTTCATTTTCAGTCTTTATTATTCAGAATGGGGCTACTCTTTGAGGATAGTAGCTAAAACGTTTATAAAATGTTGGATCTCTTGTTTGGCAATGTACTTCAAAAATTATAATTAATCTTATCAAAAATACTAATTGGAAACTTAACATAGGGTTTAGATCTTACTTTCTTTAATGCTTAAGGTTGGATTATATTCCTTAGGAGGAAACATCAACTCTTTTAGAACCCTAGAGTGTCTTTTATTTCGGTTTATCAGATTTCCACTTGAGACATGATTTCTTTGGGTCAGGACAGTAAATAGCATTTCTAGAAGTCTGAGCAAGTTCGTGCATCCTCCTTATGTTCTATAATAATTTATCCCTCAGAACTTTGAACACTGGAAGAATACAGTTCCTTGGGGGAAAATGCATTCATTGGTTTAAAATAAATGCAAAATGGCAACCCCTCATTTGCTAACTATTTAGATAACAGTGAAGCTGAAGAAAATGGTCAAGAAAATGGTCACTCAGTAGTCACTGACCAGTTAGGGCTAACTTGCTCAGATGCACTAACTTGCTCAGACTTCTAGAAATACTATTTAATTCCCCGACCCAAAGAAATCATGTCTCAAATGGAAATAGGGCTGTGACATTAGCTTGTTTTCAGAGAATCATGAGATTATCACCCTATTCAAAATTCACTTTAAAAATTAAAATGGCCTATGAAACTGGAAGTATTGGCATGTGGTTATTTGAAGAAATCATATTTGAGAAAATTTTGCTTTCCTAAGGAAATGAAGCTATGAATGTATTTATTTGTGTGTATGTGTGACAGAGTCTCAGTCTTGATTAGGCTAGTCTCAAACTCCTGAGCTCAAGCAATCCACCTGCCTGGGCCTCCCAGAGTGCTAGGATTACAGAGTGAGCCACTATGTCTGGCCTCGAACCTATGAACTTAAAAAATGTTTTGATTGTGGGAACTAAAGAGAAATAACATCTGTTGAATTAGACTCATTTTAGATACAGTTGAGTATTTTCATATATTTTTCTCTGTTGATATTAGGTCAAAGATTTAAAAAAGAGATTAACATAATGTTAGAACATAAGAACTGTTATACTATGCTGAATTAGAACAAAGAAAATAACACAAATTAAGAATAACCATGTTGAGGAGGAACACTGCCCATAATATAATAGGAGAAGCTCTGTTTGACATTTGAGTTGTATAAAAGTAGACATGAGGAACATTGTCTGTTCCTTTATTTTAGAATTTCTATGATTTTCTTGAATAAATGAAAAAAATAAGATTAGATGACTTCTTGAGTCCAATGTTTCATACATTATTGAACAAGATATTCTTATTTCTTAGGCTGGGTGTGATGGCTCATGCTTGCAATCTCAGCACTTTGGAGGCCAAGATGGGAGGATCACTTGAGGCCCAGGAGTTCAAGATGAGCCTGAGCAACATAGTGAGATACTATCCCTACAAAAATAGAAAAATTAGCAGGGCATGGTGGGACATGCCTGTAGTCCAAGATACTTAGGAGGCTGAGGCAGGAGGATCTTTTGAGCTCATTCAGGTTACAATGAGCTATTATTGTACCACTGCACTCCAGTCTGGACAACAGAGAGATCTTGTCTCTTAAAAAAAAATTCCTAGATCAAGGGTCAAAATCACTTGAGGGGGACCTTAAAAACAAATCTATTCTGTGCCCAGCCCCTGAATGAATTTACTACCGTAGGATAGGATTTGTGCATCGGAAGCTTTAAAAATCTTTCTGGGTCATACTAGTATACAGCCAAGGCTGAGAATCTTTGGGTTGTATCTTTTATCACCAGTATAGGGGCCGAGGGAAAACTCCCTCTCACCCTCTGAAACTGCTGAAAATCAAGTGATAAAACACAGATTGATAGGAGAAAAGGCATGCATATTTATTGGTCATGGTTTTTCCTGAGATAAGAGCCTTCAGAATGAAGATCCAAAGATGCAGGGGAAATTGGCCATTTTTGTGCTTAGGTTCAACACAGAATGGGCAGCCACGTACAAGTATGACTGTACAAAAGGGTGTTATCTGATGATGATAGACTTGAGTGGGGAAATCCTTCAAGGCCTGCTTGTCTAGATTCTTCTTGGCTTCTCTGAGTGCTCATTAATTCCTACTGGTGTAGTGCAGGACCCTCTCTGGAACTGGGGTTGTATGACCTACAATCAGGCCAGGCAGACAATTTCTTTTTGACCAGTTTTTACACGGAATGGGGGAGTTAGGGTACTATTTTCAGGTTTTACAGCTGGTTTTGAAGAAGAGGTATTCTTGTTTCCGTGACTCACCTTGAGGAAGGGGGATTCTAGTTCCTATGGGTAATCTTGGGGGAGAATGAGGGGGCATAGACAGGAAGGCAGGAGGAGGTCAGAGAGAAAGAAACATTTGCTTCTGAGCCAGCTTTCTAAGCCTTCCTTTGGGGTGTTGTTTTCTTAGCTCCTACACTAGTGCAGTATATATTTAACATTTAAAGAAGCAAATCAACAAAAGTGAAGTCTTTAATAAACTTGCAACATTTTTTGCAAAAGTATCGAAGTCCATCAGACAGGTATGTCAGGGCAGCTCCAAGTGCTTCCTAGCTCAGAGTAAATAGTTTTCCTTTAAATTGTTCCAGTAACTTTTTACACCAACACCTAGCATACCTATTTTTAGCTATAGAACAAATTGTTTTCCTAATCACCAGTTCTTGAAGTGTGAAAGGAAGCTAACCTCCAGAAAAAGAGTTTGACTTGGCATGTTTCTCTTGGCACGATTCACAAGTGGATTCCAAGCCTCTAATCTTTTCTAAGTCTTTCAGCACTGTGAATGACAGCTAAAAGAATTTAGCATAATCATGTATAATGTATGACTAAATGTGTCAGAGCGGATACTAAAAGCTTTCTGGAGCTCTAATATGAAACCTGCCATATTGCATTTCTCACAGATCAAGAAAAGATGCAAAACAATTTATTTTGTGTAGACATTATTATATAGTTATAAATGTGACTTAGAAGCCATGTGTGTATGAAGACAAATGCCTACCACCTGTCAATGGTGTCGATAAATGTAGCTTTTTAGGGAGAATGAATTTGCTAGGTTGCTCTGACATACCATACTGCAAAATTATTATTAAAATGAATGGCTAGAAATTTCCCTATTGCACTTTTTACATTTTTCCCCTTTCGTTTACCGTATTTTATGAGTTAACAAGCTTGTTGTTGAAAGGTTTTAAATTTATTTCTTAGGAGTAAGTTCTTTTTTAAAGACCACTTTGTTCAAGTTATACTTTATAAACCACATCTTTACCCACTTGAAGTGTATAGTTCAATGGGTTTTGGTTTATTAACAGAGTTGTGCAACTTTTACCACAATCAATGTTAGAACATTTTTATCATCTCCAAAAGGTGATCACCCTCCCAAGCCCCAGGCAACCACTAATCTACCCTCTACCTCTACAGATTTGCCTATTCTGGGTGTTTCATATAAATGGAATCCATACAAATATAGACTTTTTGACTGGCTTCTTTTTCATTTAGCATGATGTTGTTAAGGTTGCTTTACTCTGAGACATGTATTAATACTTCATTACTTTTTTTGGCCAAATAAAATTATATTTAGCCATTTGTCAGTTGATGGACATTTGGATAGGTTTTTTTTTAATAGAAAGAAACTGTTTAAAAGGTGTAATGACTTTATTACTTTAACATGGAGAAAAATATTTGTGTCCTTCACTACAGGTAGAGACATCAGACCCAACTATGAAGACCAGCATCCTGCTTATGTTCCTACTGGGGTTATCCAGTGCTTTCCCGGTAAGTATCAGGGTGCAGGTAGAGATCTATGAATAAAAACACTTTTACATATAAAACTCAACATTTTTTAAATGGCTATGAACCAAGGTGGCTGTGTTCATTCCAGCCAGATAAAAATATTTGTTAGGAAACTGTTTCTTGTAAAATATCATTCAAGTTATTTCTTATTCTGTTTCATTGTCATTCATATGGCTATGATGCTCATTTTTCTGCCCCATAAACAGTAGTTCTCAAAGTGCCACTCCCAGATCAGCAGCACTCACATCAACTAGGATTTTGTTAGAAATGCAAGTGCTTGAGTCCTACCCAGACCTACTAAATTAGACTCTCTCGGGAGGGTATTTGGTGTTTTAATGTTTTAGGAAATAATTCATGTTTTAATAAGTCCACCATGTGATTCTGACTTGTCCTAAAATTTGACTACCCCCGATCCTAATTCTATAAAGTGTTAATTAACTGCTGCTTCAGAATCACTTTTTGCGTTGGCCATCTGCACTCAATTTTCTAAGTAGCCAGAAATGAATCTGAAAGTTCTGAACATTCCATGGGTTGACCACGTGTACTTCATTTTCTAGGTAGCCAGGTATCAAAACAATGAATCTGAAAGTTCTGAAGAGTGGAAGGTGAGTAGATATACAACTTTTGAGATGTTTTAATTTTAACGTATTATTAGTATAACCAAATTTACTCCATTTGGTTATATTGGTTATAATGTTGAAGGTGCTAATGACTTAATGAGTATATTGATTAAGCTCCAAGCAGTAAAAAGCTACACTTTCTGGTTTGTGTAAGAAGCAGGGCTTAAATTCCAACTTAATGGTATAATTTGGTGAGAAAGCATTTTTCTTTTAGCTTTCTTATAATGATGTGCACAGTGGTACAAAGGGACAGATGACAATGAACCAAGATTGTCCAGGAGAGTTTAGGATCCCAAATCTGTTCTAACAGATGTCTAGGGGGCAGGCAATCAAGTCCTGAGAGGTGAGAATAGAGAAGAGAATGAGAGAATACTAGGTAGAGTCTTTGGAATGAGAGCTAGTGATTATTGAGTGTTGACTCTTAATTACCCAATCATTATTAACTCTCAATAACTTAAGAATCATTGCCAGGCCCACCCGGTTCTAGGTATTCATGTGTTAACTTTCTTAATCTTCATAAGAACTTCATAAATCAGGCATTATATCTTATTCCTGTTTTATAGGGTTAGAAAACTGAGGCACAGAGAGTAAGTTTGTCTAGGCCCTGGGCATATGGTTAATTAGAGTTAGAGCCAGACTTTGACCACTCTTGCTCCAGCATCTACCTACATTCTTAACCAGTGTGTTATATTCTTCTTAGCAAGGGGCCAGGTCTAGGAGGTCAATGAATTTTCAACACGGGCACTAGAAGAAGGAAGGGTTAAAGTCTTATGCTAAGTATGAACTTTTGTTCACCATGTCATTTCCTGCTGCCTGAGGCATGTGATAGGCTTGGGCCCAATGCGGTGGTAGCCAGAGACCTGAGGTGGGGTCCTGCTCCTGCGTGAGGCTGGATAGATGTTGCAGGATTTATTATGAACTTTCATCAGGGATAGTCCATAGGCTGGTTAATTTAAAACAGCCACTGTAGATTCCTTTTCTTTCTTTTAGCTAGAGACTCACAAACATGCCCTGTTCTCAAACCTAGCCTTGGAATGAGAAAAATAACAAGGTTTTGCTCTCTCCATCTGTTGATTCCAAATGATACCTGCCTGGGGCGGTGTCTGCCATTGTGCCTGCCTACAGTGTTACAGGTCAGAGACTTAAAGAGATTACAGCTCCCTCCTATGCGGAGGTGCCCCTAGCCCCGCACTGCTGAGAGGCTTGCTGGGATTCGCCAGTAGCAGCTTCTCCCTGCTCTACTTTGGGCCTTGGGTATTCCACATGGGACCTTGCCCTGCTCAAGTGGAAGGGGAAGAATAGGCACAGGAAGGAGGTGGAGGAACACCGGAAGTTGCTTGTGCATTCTTATCATGCTTATGAGACTAAAGAAAGTTAAATAAATGAGAAGCATGACTGGTTAAATTTCAGGTTTAATGTTTGTTTTTAATATCAGGGCTCTTATGTGACTCAAGAAAGGTTTTAATGGCTTTCTCAATTCAATTTTGTCTACTATTCAATTTTATTAGGTGGATAGTATCAAAATGGCCCATTTCTTTGGTTTACATCAGATTGAATTATTCTCAAGATGCTTTCATAGGCATTAGCTTATTTTATCCTTATAGCAACCTTGTGGTATAAACACAGTGAGTGTGTTTTTACGAACCAGAAGCTGACAGTGGTGAAGTGAATTGCCCATGTTCACAGAGAATGACCATCCATCTTAGTTTGTCTGGAACTTAGGCGTTTCTTGGAACATGTGACTTTTAGTGCTAGTACCAAGATGGTTGGTTTTCAGGGCTAAAACCAAAACTAATGAGTTAATTGAAACTTAAGCCTGGATTCCAAGTTTCAGTGCTGTTTTTCTAATGTTATATTTTCCTCTAGGTTGAATGAACAGCCAGCTTCAAAGAAAGTATGGTTTTTTTTTTATATAAGTAAAATATCAGAAACATAAAAATCTTTCAGCTCTTTTATATCCCAAGATTTTTTCCAGCCATTAGTTATTTTCCCTTGTTTTTCAGCCATTTCACCATAAAATCTCATAGTTACTCATGTATATATATTTTTTTTTTTTTGAGACAAAAAAACAAAAAGAAGAAAAAAGGGAAAAGGTGATGGGAAGATTGTTAGTTACTTCATGAGAACTCACTGAGTAGAATGCCCTGGCATCATAACTCACAGCAATCTCTAATTCTTGGGCTGAAGCAATCCTCTTGCCTCAGCCTCCTGAGCTGGGACTACAAGAGCCCACCACAAAACCTGTCTACTTTTTCTATTTTTAGTAGAATGGGGGCCTTGAACTCCTGAGCTCAGGCAATCCACCTGCCTTGGCTAGCATTATAGGCGGGAGCCACTGAGCCTTGACTTATCTCTACGTAAAATAGATACCAAGACTAAAAAAAAAAATCACCTAAAATTATTCTAAAATTTGCAATGACATGATCCATCTGTGAAGAAGTAACTGTTTTCCTTCCTTTTTTGCAGGGTCATTTGGCTCAGGTATCAACACCACCCTTGGTAATTATCTCATTTATTTTTATTTTTGTCATAAACATCTCATGAAGTAACTAACAATCTTCTCATCACCTCTTCCCTTTTTTCTTGTCTCCCCCCCCTTTTACCATTTGAAAGTAGTAAATCCAAACTGGAAGCAGTTTTCCTTTTATGAATTAGTAAAAGGAAAAGTAAACATTTTTTTCTGCCTTTCAGGAGAGTGGTGTGTCATCAGAAAGAAGTTAAGTTAGCTCAGAGGAACAGGTCATTAAACAGAACTTACTTAACTTTTCAGTCTACTTTGGAATTGAAGGAAATGATGTTAGATTAAATAACCTGGCAACAGTTCTAAATATAATATTTTCTAACCATTGGTTATGCTAGCTAAATAATCCCATAAAATAAGAAGGGAAAATGAGTGAGAATTCAGGTGTGGATATGCTATTCATTTTGTTTTATCACTGAGGCCAGATTGTAGGCAGTGTGGCCCTAAATGTCCTTCCTAGCTAAAAAAAAAAAAAAATACAAGCATACAAATGGTCATTGGCTATGTTAGGCCAGCACTAGCTCACTCATGAACTTAAAATGTCGCCTTTATAATTGGGTGGTTCAGATCAGGAAAAGAGGCGCCAGAGAGCCTTCTCTGTCAAGAATCTTGCTGGAGGAGAGGATAAGAGACTGCTGAGGAAACTTTAAGGAAAACAGCTGCTTTAGGAATGACTTTGTCTGTGACTCTGGGACTGCAACAGGCAGTCTTAGCTTACATTTCTTCACTAAAAAAACTGGCTTTCCTGGTCCTTTTTCTAAGAATAAGTGTCATTACTTTCTTAGCTCTCCTACCACTCTAACCAAACTCAATCCTGTGGGGCTCCAGAGAGTCTAGGAACCAGGTTTCTTCCTGAAGCTTTGACCCATGTTGCATCCTACACTGAGTTGGAGTTGGAAGATGAGTTATTATTAAGCTTTTTTATCCCTGTTTTCTAAAGGTTCATCAGAGGAATGGTGTAGAAATTTAAAAGCATAGAAATGGGGAAAGCTTTTCTTGGGACTTCTTGATTTATTGCCTAAATGTTTTCTAAGTTCTCAAGTAACGGTAACAATCTCTGCTTGAGAAAGGTGTGAGGTATGTTTAAGGAGGTATGGTAGATTGCACCTACACTCAGTTCCACTCTACCAGTATAAAACCCCAGTGCTGGGAAGTGATGTCAGCATTGTGTGCTCCCAATTAGAAACTCAGATATCTATCACTAGGAACATGGGGATAAGATATAATTTGGCAAATATGCTCTGTTGTAAGGTATGGTAAAAAGAGCAGGTTGTTCCAGAGTGTAATGTATGTAGACTTGCTATCCTTCCTTCTTTGTGAAGAGTGTACAGTTTACTTATTGGAATTGTCTCTAACCTCCCATTCAGCACAAAGCTGCCATGATGGCCACACAAGTTGCCATCTTCTAGCTGAGTCTTCATGGGCAACTCTCTGCCATGTATAAATGTGGTTTGGCTGGGGTAGATACCTAACTATATAATATTTTATTTCACTTTAGCTACAGGTTTTAACCTCCTGCCCTAATACAATTTTCCCCCAGAGGGGAAAAAAAAAATCAGGGTCATTTTAAGATCACTTGATACTTTTTAAAAACTGTTTTTAAATCAAACAACTTAAGAAGCAAGCTTGATAAACCAACTAAACCAACTCTTTAATTCACGAAAAAATTCTCTGCAAGTTTTATAAAACTCAATCACACTTAAGACACAATTTGAGTTTTAAAAATATGACTTCTAGAAAGCTTTTAAAGAAAAATTTTTGCAGCATTGTGTGATATGTGCCAATCTAAAATGCAACAACTTGAGTTTCAACTCCTTTTCCTCCTCGTGTAAGCTCTGGCAGAGATGCTACTGAGCAGTAGAATTCACGAGGAAGAGATGTCAGAAGAAGGAAGCAGAAAGAAAGGCACTAGACTACCCCCTGTCCATTGTTCCTGGAGTACTGACCATGTCTGTTAACCCCAAACTCCAGGCAAATGAAGACCCCAGTGACAGCACTGAGTCCGAGGAGGAGCTGGCCTCTGATGATCGTCAGGATGTCCACAGACCTGCTGGTAGCCTCTCTAGCAGTGCAGGAATACAAGGAGATGATAAAGATGATGATGAAGATGACAGTGGAGATGACACTTTTGGTGATGATGATAACGGGCCACTGTCTGAAGAAAGACAAGGAGGAAATTCCAGACTGGGAAGTGATGAGGATTCCGGTGACACCACACAATCCAGTGAAGAGAGCGTCCCACAGGCAGAAGACAGTGCCCAAGATGTCACCAGTGAGAGCAGGGACCTTGACAATGAGGTGGACAGCAGGCCCGAGGGAGGTGACTCCACTCCAGACAGCGAGAGTGAGGAGCATTGGCTGGGAGTTGGCAGTGACGGCGGGAGGAGCCACGGGGATGGCTCCGAGTTTGATGACGAAGGGATGCAGAGCGATGACCCAGACAGCATCAGGAGTGAGAGAGGAAGCTCCAGAATAAAGGGCTCCACCGCGAACAGCGAGCAGCCAAGCCCCGAGGACTCCGGCGAGAGCCAGGCTGGGCCGCGTCCCGGCAGGACGGCGTTCCGGAAGTCCCGCCTTTCCCCGGAAGCCGCTGCCCCGGAGGAAATGCAGAGCGACTCCGCGGAGGACGCTGACGCCGGAGAAGCAGGCCTCAGACGGTCCAGGGAGGACAGCAGGCATGAATCTCAGGAAGACAGAGAGGAAAACGAGTCCTGGGAGGACAGTCGGAACGAGCCAGAGCCCAGCAGCGAATCCAGTCAGGAGGCGGACCTGCCGTCGGAAGAGAGCAGCAGCGAGTCCCGGGAGGAGGCCGCGGGCGAGTCCCGCGGGGACAACCCGGATGACGTCGCCAACAGGGACTCCAGCGAGGAGGGCGGCCTGACCGCGTCCTCCAGTTCAGAAAGCGAATCCGGGGAAGATCAGGCCGACGGCGAGTCCAGCGAGAGCCTCCAGTCGTCGGAGGAGAGCCCGGAGTCTGCCGAGGAGGGCAACAGTTCCAGCCAGGAGGGCTTCCGGTCTCACAGCGCCTCGGCCGAGAGCCAGTCTGAGGAAGACCGCAGTAGCGACTCTCAGGACAGCAGCAGGTCCAAGGAAGACAGCGACTCCACCGAGAGCACCTCCAGCAGCGAGGAGCATGGCCAGTCAAAAACTGTGGAGATAGAAAGCAGAAAATTAACAGTCGATGCTTACCACAACAAGCCCATTGGGGATCAAGATGACAACGACTGCCAAGATGGCTATTAGCATCCGCTTTTCTAGGAAGAGGCTCGCACATAAAGGAGTCTTGGGGCTTGAAAGTAGAGAGATCATAATACCTACAATTTATTTGGTGTTTTGACCAGAAGGGTAATGAGAGGTCATTTTTCTGAAAGGAATTGCTAGACAACACACTTGTTTCCAGGTGTCCTCATTTCATAGAGGTTTAGATAATGTGGAAGGACACCAGAACATACTCAGTGAGGCTGGAAGCAAGGACGATGTGCATTATAACTTCACTGCTGATATAGCTCCTAACTCATTAACCTAACACACAGCTCTCGAGGGTCCATGATTATACGAGGCTCCGTGCTCGGTGCTGCGGATGTAAAGAAGCTTAAGACTTGTTTCTTGCTCCTGAGGAGCTTATAGGATACATAAAGCTGAAGAGTTAGGGAGGGATATATATAAGGAAAACAAGAGTCGTTACAATCCAGAGAGCTAGTCGCCAAATCATAGGCATGAACAACATACACGGGAGTGCTGGGGAGAGTGACCAACTTTGCTTTTGGAGAATTAGGGTGGGCTTAAGGGCAGGAGACAGGAGAGTTGGAGGGTTGCATAGATTTCTCCATTGAAGACCAGAGAATTCTATTCTTGGAATAGACAATAGCAAATACAATGTGGCTAATTATGTAGTTTGTGAAAGCATTTTAAAACTATGACAGGTGTTTTGGAAAAATGACCCATTTTTTTCCCACTAATTTATCTTATTCATTGTTCTTTTGTGGGACTCCCATGATTATTGCCTTACTGATCACTGGTAATGATATGGAGGATTGAGTAGGGGAGAGTATAAAAGAGAAATCCCTCTTCATATGGATAAATCTTAGCTTTATTTTTCTAAAATATGTTTATGTGAAATGCTGGAAAAACTGTTTTCTGAGTCCTTTACATGTTGCACACAGCAAAATTCTATACATTGGATTCAACTGATTTCTGAAAAATACTATTTGAAATGTTACCTCAATATAAAATATTTGTTTTGTAATAAAGATAATAATACCCAGAAGACGTATTTCCTTCTTTGTTTTAATGATGTTCATTATTAAGATATATTTGTTGAGCACCTCTTTCTTTAAAACATTACTGAATAGTTTATTACCTTTCTTCCCCATTAAAGTGAAAGATGCTCTTAAATTAGCCCATGAAATTTTTATTTATAAAGTCATATAGAATTTTAATAAAATTTGTTTATATGTTGCTTATATTTCGCCACATATATCTGTATGTACTGAAAGTGTAGTGTAGAGAAGGAATAAAATGTAACAAATTCAATTTTTGTTTTAGGCCAAACAAAAGTTCATGATGTTTGGATTTAACATTAGCTCTTTTTGCTGGTCTCCCAGACTCATTTGTATAAACTATAGAAGGCAAAGGGAAACACACTCCTTATATTTTTATTTCTTTGAAGACAATTACTGCACCTCAGTGGTTCTATTTTACCTACATTTTCATTGGTGTACATCAGATTTTCCTTATAAATTTATTAAGAAAATCAAAACTTCCTCATCTCAGCCTGAATCTTGTTATCCTTCATATAGCTTTGTTCACTCACAAGGTCACAGCTGTGTTCACTTGAGATTTAAAAATTATACATAGGTACACTCAAATCCCCATCTTGAGATTTTAATTTAGTAGGTTTGGAGTGAGACTGAGAATTTTGTATTTTGAAAAAGATCCTAGGTGGTGCCTGTGGCTCAAAGGAGTAAGGTGCCAGCCCCATATGCTGGAGGTGGCGGGTTCAGATCCAGCACTGGCCAAAAAAAAAAAAAAAAAAAAAGGATCCCAGGAGATTCTGATTTCTACAGTTGAGTTCTATGGCTCTGTGGATTATTATCTGATTCAATTAATCCACAGGTTTTTGCCAACTCATAGCTTCTTCTGAGAACTGCTCCATGCTTAGACCTCCTGGTTGCCTTAGATCTAGATGACCAGGTTCTAGCGACTTAAAGGTGATTGGACAGGATACACACCTGATGCAAGGGGAGTCTAGTCAGCAGCCTCCAAGGACACACATTATTAAAGCTCTACTCAGATACAAATAGTGGTGCTTGAGGTCTTATGTGATTTTCTCTCTCTGGAAATTTGAATATTTAGAGACAGAGAGACAGAGACATCAGAAAGTGGTCAGAACAAAAATCCAAAGGGATACAAACAGAAATAGAGGGTAAAACACCATTAATGTGGAAGACGAAACTGAAAATTATTGCAGGCCAAAATGATAAATCTTGCCAGCATCTTTTGTTGCCTACCACACCTCCCTAGATTCCTGTAATGTTCTTGCTTCTTAAATACCCCCTGTATCCTCACAACATACTTATCTTTCTTGAGGCAACCTGAGTGAGTCTTTGATCCTACAACGAGAAAACCTAATGAAACTTATGCATGTATATATTAATTCAGCCAGTGTTCCCAGGTCCTATAAAACCTTAAACAAGATAACTCCCTGGACATTTAAGAGGAAAAACAATAAGAATTTTAAGCTATGTTCATGATAAAATCCTAATAGCAGATGTAGGAAGGTTTTCCATTGATGGAGACAGGTGTAACACTGATACTAAGGGGAGGGTGCAGAACACCATGGAATTTTTAGAGAGTATAGAGGAGCATTGAAATACAACGGACCTGACATTTGTTGCACAGTCATGAAGCTCCCGGTCCTGTGCTAGGTGCTTGGGCCAGAGCTCCGGAAGTTCCATTGATGGCTCCCAGAGAGGAGGAATGAATGATTTTGTCTATACTTTCCTGGGCTTCTGTGGAAGACAGTCAGGATATATAGTTAAGACTTTCTAAAATGGAACTTTCTATGATTTAATTAAAAATAAAATAAAATTGAACTTTCTACTGTCTGGGATTGGGCATTAGCACTGGTTAGTTTTTCAAGTCCCAGGTAATTCTAAAGTGCAGCCAGCATTGACAACTCCTGCTATCATATAATAGCTAATTCTGGAAACTTTTGGCCATGCTTAGGTCCAGGTAAGGATAAAATGCCAAACTCTGACCCCACTTTATACGTTGGGTTGACTTTTTACCTCATTACACAGTCTTGCCTGCTTCCTCTGCCAGCACATCAACAGGCCAAACATTTCAGTAACTGGCACATACAGGGTGGCTATAAAGTTCATGTGCAATTTTAAACTTAATTGAACATTATTTATTGTTTTTTTATTTTTTGCACACTATTTTAAATTGCACATGAACTATAATTATGGTCACCCTTTATACCTCTCATCTCTCCCAGATGGTGACTAGGTAAGGCATCACCAGCTATTAGAAAAAAAGTAAGGATATTTTGCTTTTTAATAAACTGCCCACCCCAAGGTCAGTCATAATGTAAAGTCCCTGAGTTTTACTCTCACTGGCTTTCTATTAGCATCTTCCTTGTCATAGAAATATATCTTACTGAAGCTTGTGAATGGTTTCCTTTTGTCCTTGTGCTACAATGCCACAGATGGAAGAAATTACAGCCAGAGAAACAGCTACAGCCTGGAGGACTCATGGTCAGATATACAAAACAGAAAGCTTGGCTTTCCCTTTTCTGCACAGATCATAACCATTATTTTAAGCAACAGAATAGAAAGTTGGAGTTTGCTCAGAGGCCTTATTGTGTAACTGATATGAAAGAGATCACTACTATCCTTTTGTGCAATATAAGCCATCCTTTATTAACTTTAGCATTGGCTGGAAGTCCCCATGGAGAGGAAGGCAGCGAGCTGGAAGCCAGCCTGACTGGCAGATGGGAGGGAGAAGGAGCATGAGGGGGATGTTATCATTGGGTTCATGTCTACCTTCACCCCAAATAAAGCTTCACACTCTCTTATCTCCTTTCTGGTGTAGGTGTTTCCCACTCACATCCGGTCCCCCACCAAAGGCTATACCAAACTAGAGTAATAAACAGGGGCTTTATGTAAGTGGAGAAAGGGCAAACTTTGCTATGCTTTAAAATAAGAACAATGTCAGTCAAAGAAAGTTTTCACTATCCCTAGAAATTGTGTATGTGTTTGATGCTGCAGTGTTAAAGATTTTGTTTTTACTGGGAGCAGATTGTACCTTCCTGACTTTTCAAATACAGTGTTGAAGGAGAATATGGGGTGGGGAGGGTGTCACAGCAAGTCAGAGCATTTATGGCAAATTGAACTGATCCACATAAGGTCAGTGGGCACAGAAGGGTTCTGCAGAGGACACTGGACAGGATGCTTCAGAACTTGACCAAAACCGGATTCATGTGGTTAGGATTATGACAACAGCAAAGGTACCATAGAGAAAATGCAAATGTTCACTATATTCCAGAACTTTACCCTAACGTGATTTAACATGATTTCCGTCAGTGGAAACAGCTTTCTGGCCATGATCTGTAAGCATGCATGTTTTTTTATAGCTGCAATTACAGTGATTTTAATTTTCTCATTTAACTTACATTTACATTTTTAGTGTTTTATAATTTGTAAGTTATCACAAATTACCAAAATTCCTTGTAGATCTTCCTTTTTTAATATTAATGATGAAGCAATAAAAAACTTTATGCAAATATTTTATTACTTACAATGTTAGATTTCCCATTATAAATTAAGTAAAGAAAAGAGCACCTATTACCAAGCAGAACGATGCAAATTTTTTCCTCTGGCAAGATGCCTTTTAATTTAACTACATTTATTCCATTCGGTTTTAATGAAGAATCACAGAATGACATGTGCTTTTTGAATCATCCCCTCTAATAAAAAAATACATTTAACCAAGCTATACTTGCTTGATTTAATGCCTGTAATTTAGTGGCACCAACTGAGAGTAAAAATGTAAATTATTCAAAGAGAACAGCAATTCCCAAATTGCAGCTTTTCCTGAGTTCAAGTCTAAGAATTATAATTTAACAATAGAACTATGAACTAAAAGATAAAAATTGTCATTGAGCACAACTGAAATTCGCTTACATCTGTTTTGTAAAAATAGAACTTTTTAATATAGCTTCAAATCTGGAAATTTAAAAA